ACTGGCCAACTCTCTCATGTTCTTTTTATTAGAACTCATTCTCTATTGTATGGTTTCTTTAAGCCAATAATTTAGAATTTTTTTTCCTTTCACTTTCATACTTCTTTTTATAAAATCTCCGGATCAATCTATTTAAGGCATGAAATCATTCTGGTTTCAGATAAATGGTGTGAATAATGCACCTAATAAATTTTGACTTTTAGAAAAAGAAAATTAATTAAAGTTTTGAACCTCTACTGTATTATTATTTATCATTCTTTCTAAAGCAACTTTCTTATATATAAAGATCAAACAACTTGAGTGTTATGAGTATTCTGGCTACGGAATGAGAGGGTGATTCTGGATGACAAAGTGGGTTTTCGCCGTATATATTATCGGCCAGATCCCCTTAAATGGATTCAATTTACTGAAATATATTTTTGCCGTGATCAAGTGACTCAAGGATTAAATTGTCATTTAGCACTCACTGCTTCAGCTGCTGCCCCTTCTGGCATGGAGTTAAGCCCGTGGGATGGGCCTGGGCTTCAACCTGTGGCCCAAATAAATGAGTCTAACAATGGGCTTAAATTCTTCTTAGGCTTCGATCCTCAGTGGGAAGTGGGACGCCGGACGAACATCAAAAAGTATTGCAGTTGCAGCCGGGAGGCAGTGGCCAGTGGGGTGTGTGATGTGCGAGGTCCTCCTGCGTTGTCGCTATCGGCCTTCTGTAACTGCAAGCGCCAATGGGCTGCACTTCCCTCTGCTTCACGCTTCATGTCGGTTGAAATGCAAAGGAAATGTTTTGGGAGGCAAACCAGAAGGAATCTCACAGTTCAGAACATGCCATCGTTATCTCTTTGATTGCAGTGCAATTTTATTTACACTAGTACAAATGCATGAAAGTGCAAATGAAAAAAAATGCAAATTTTCATTTAATTTTGTATTGAGTTTTATTTTATTCTATTTCATGTCTTAATTTACTTCATCTGTAATGCAATCAAACAAAATAAGCTAAAATTTAAAACAAAATAGATCAGAATTTACGTTCAAATCATTTGCACTGCCACAGTTTTACATCAGTGCAAATTTATTTGCATTGCAATCAAACACAGCCTCAGTTTCATTTCAGCTGGTTAAGGTTTGGGTTCATTTCAACTAGCCAATAAGGTTTGCAGTGGCAATTAATTGCACTGATTGCAAAACCATGGGAGTGAAAAATGGTTTGAGTGCAAATTTTGATTTTTTTTTTTTTTTTTGCCTTCTTAAAGTTTTACCTTATTTTGTTTCTTTGCAGCACAGATCAGTTAAAATAAAAACATGAAGAAGTGATACGGCCATACGACCCGAATCGATGGGAGATCACCATGTGTGCGTGTGTCCCACCTCAGGGGTAATCCAGTCAATTCACATTACCTTGGAGAATAATTTTGTAATTTCACCAGACGACCTGGGTTGCAACTCGGGCCAAACTGGTAAACCGTTACAGAATTCACTACCTCCATGATTAATCAAATGGGATTTCCTACTCACTTTTTCTTTTCACTCTCTACCCCGCAGTGAATTCGGCCACACATCTCTATTATGAATTAAGAGATGTATGGCTGCAATTCATAACTGATAAAGAATGAATAGGAAATCTGGGTTTGAGAGTTCCTCCCTTATAAATAAGCAAGCCTCCTGAAGGTATAACTTTTTACACTTTCAGCTTGTCCTCATCCTGAGACCGGATCTACTCCTTACATAAGACACCTCACACGTGCCTCACACACACATCCTACCATGCATTGGGAATATCTCCCATACTTATAAATTATCTTTCACGGGAGATATTCCCAATGCACAATGGATGTGCATGTGAGGCGCCCAAGTGGGAGGAGCAAAACCCATTCCTCCTCATCCCTAGCCCTTGTACTAAGTTGACCATTGGAGTCTCCACCTAGGGGCCTCTAACAACTTTTTACGATTTCAGGCAACCTCACAGCTATGACCTTAGGATGAAATTCCAATTTTTTCCTTGGCTGTCACATCGAGTAGCATCACAAAGAAAAATCTATAGCAAAAAGTGGACCATTTGATGCATTCTTGCTGTTTGCACTCTTATACATATCTACTAACGCGAACGAAATTAATGAAATCAGATTGGCTGGAGACAAAATCATACACACTAGGTTGGGGCTATGTATTATGCATATGCCGGTATTTACTATAAATACTGGAATGTTCGCTCGTGATATATAGCCAAACCCGATGTACATGATTTTGTCTCCAGCCCATCGACTTCGAAAATGAAATTGCAAGTTTGATCCATGGAGCACTTGTTATTCACTGGGTTTGAAGATTTAATTCTGACTCTTTCTTCACCCAAAAAAATAATCACTGCACTCTGCAGCTTGTTGAGAAATGCCACACGATGACCTTAATAAAGACAAACAGAACCTTAAACGCGTGCATTTGGGTTATATCCAAATCCAAGGGGGTGCCCGCCACTGACTGGACAACCCTATTAATGATCCATGAATTTGGCAATAGAGAGAGATCTGTTGTGGTATATTCTTTCCTTTTATCACCTAAACTTTGATTGGTTGATAGCTTTGAAGAACATAATACTTGATATAGAAGGGCATCAAGTCAAGCGTCGTAACGTCCTTGTTTAAGATCAAACAGACACTAAGAGAATGTTTGGAACCATGGCCGTTTAAAAAAAACGGTGCTACGTCGGATCCACATAGGCATTTCAACAAACGTCTATATATATGAATGTTTGGTTCAGGCGTTTATTGAAAAATTGGGCATATGTATCCTATGTGGTGCTTACCTGTCAGTATATACATGAAAAGCGGTGATGAAAATCACTTTACCAAACAGCATAATATTGCTCACTAGTTACGTGGTAAAAACGTTTTTTTGTGAAAAACAGGTTTTGAAAACATAGGCATTTTTTCTTAAAAATCAGTCCCAAAAAACGTCCACACCTCCAAACACCATCTTAATTAAACTACAAAAACACATAAAGTGCTATACTAACTTGTGATTCAGCATTCCACTCAACACTTAATCTTACTTTTCCGGGTCCAGGTCAGGCCACCATAAGCTGTGGGGAACTTGTGTCCTAAAGTGTAGGGACTAGTGACCCCTCATCTCTCTGCATCCATCTTTTGTAAGGCTATTGGGTTTCATATCCAACAAATCAAATCATATTCCGGTGAGTGGGGCCCCTTACTTGGTTATTTCATTTGGTTTTCATACTTGGAGTTTAATTACTTCTTTTCTAAAAGATGCAATCTTTTATATATCTATTGCTGATAAAAGAAGATGGTTTGCATCCATAGGTTTTCAAGACGTTCATCCTGTTTGATATTGGTTTTATATCATCACTTATACAGATTTGTTGGTTGATGGCTTTTCATCATTGACAGGAAGAATTTTGTACGCTTCAAATTAACTTCTGATTTATGTAACTTAGTTATGGTGCCATATTCGGAGCCTTTCTAACCACTTCTAACAAGCTTAGTTTGCGTGCAAGTCAGCTAATTAATTCAAATAAAGGGATGCTAAGAACATGTTTCATATGATCACAAGGAGTATTAATGGATCGGTTTTGGGTTGGACTCTATCTAAATCAAAATTAATTTAAATGGATTAAACAAATCAATAATGCTAATCTAGACTTAATAATCCAAATATTTATTGGATTGGATTGGATTAAAACTGCTCCATTCATAATAGATTTATTTATATATTGGATTGGGTCGGATTGAACCGATAGTACGTAGAAGACAAGACAAGTGTCAATGGACTGAATTTGGGTTATAACCAATCTATTAAATTATATGTTTGGAATCATTGGCGTTTTTTCATTCAATGGTTATACTTTATTTATTTGCAAAACCGAGAAAGATAATAATTGTAACCATTTATGATGGTGCCACTAGGTGCCACTAGGCACTACATTAACATAACAGTGAAAAGACACCTAACTGTTAGGGGAAGCTTTAAAAACTAATTTCCCCAAACGGTAAATGTGCACAAAAACCGAAGCCAGCTTTTACTATTCTTGATGTGTATGAAAGAACAAGGGGAAATACTGAAGTGGCATCTATAGGACATGAGTAGAGAGATATTCACAATGCAAGGCTGTAAAAATTGCTCGAACGAGCGTTGCCCTAATGGAAGCCAAAGGCAGCCCAGTGCACAAGACCCACCAATGCGGGATCTGGGAGGGATATATGTTCGCAGCCTTATCCCTGCATATGCTGTTTTCAAATTTTGAACCCTGGTCACCCAGATCTGAATCAAATCAGGATTTGCTCTTTACATAGTGCTCCTTACATCAACTTCACCGCAATTGGAACTGCATATCTCGAACATCTCTATGCTTGTAAACTGTCATGCATGGGGAGATGTGAGGAACAAATCCATACATGGTTGCAAGGTGCTATGAGGCCCACCTTCATACAAATGAATTCAGACACTCCCCAACTGGCCATTACGACCGCACATTGAGAACATCTCCCCATAATTAACCATAATGACAAGGGAGATGCTCCCAATGTATGGTTGTAATGGATTGTTGAGACGGTATTAGGAGCATTTTGTTGGTAACAGATCCCTACGGCATACAAATACCAGAACTCAACTCATTAAAAGGTTCAAGTACAATTGGGCTTTGTATTTATAGTTGCCAAGAGGCTATTGGGACGGTGTGAGCCCGGGTTTGCCATGACGGAAGCCGATCTCCTATTTCTTTTATTTGTATAATTAATTTATGTTTATATTTTTCTGGTGGATAGGTTGGGATCAAACCCATGATCTCTCTTGGCCATATGCCCACATCGCAACCAACCTACATTTGTAAATCAAAGCTATCCTTTGATTTGATGTCATGGCCCCACCTTGAATTAGATTAGATGAAGTGACTTATTATAGTACCGGAAAAAAAATAATATCAAATTATCAAATATAGAGAAGCAGATTTCATATAATCAGAAAAACAATGCCAATAGGCAAGAGATAGAAATTAATCTGAATTTCTTCTACAAACCATAACTAATAAACTGGTTTTTTCTTTATTGGGTTGTTACTTAAGCATATGTCTACAAAGATGAAAGATAATCTAATTAATCTTCACAAAGACCCATCTGAAGTCTGAAGTCTGAACACTTTACAGTCTCAGAGAACAAAATACGTTTAAGCTAGGGATCAGCAGAGAAGGGGCCAGCTTTTGTACTTGTTCTTTCAATGCCGGCTTTCATTTTTGTTTTCATCATTGGTGGGTGAGAGACCTCTAGTTCTTGGGACAGGAGGTTGGACTCGCAGTCACAGATTCCATAACCTAAACAAAAATGAAATCGAAGGCTAAAAAGTAGTCCTAAAAGTGAAGCACTGATTCTGCTTTTTCTATCGTCTTGTCTGTGTGCTTGAGGGGCGAAGGCAGTCTGTTACGGTGTTACCCTTGTGGACCTGTGGGTGTGCATATTAGAGCTTCTCACCATTCTCTAACGCGTTCATGTCCATGGCTAAGTCGTCAAAATAACCGAAACCAAACTCCTCCACCCCGAAATCCTGGCAATCCAATAACCATGCACAATTATCCTCCCAGGACGGCAGTCCAACGTCGACGTTGTTATATGTTTCTCCGGTCACCGGAGACTTATTCCAAGAGGCTTCCTGAGGCGGTTCGTCATCACCCCACAGGCAACTCATCAATGAGCCATCGACCCAGTTGTTATCCGACAACCGAGATTCATCTCCGGAACAATTCTCAGCTGTTGATGAGCTCGAATTGTCTTCCGATATGACACGGCCACCGGCTTCTGACGACGATGATGATCCATGATTATTAGATTCTGTAAGTTCATGATGATCAGCAGGAGAGGATGGTAGTTCTGTAGTAGTAGCAGCGGCTTGTTTATGAAGTGGTTCATGGGTCACTGGATCAATTCCCATCTTAATGAGCTTTTTCTTGATGTGGGTGTTCCAATGATTCTTAATCTCATTATCAGTTCTTCCGGGCAACCCCGATGCAATCTTCGACCACCTGAGACAACACACGACGCCGATGGCCCCCATAATGTCAAGCTTAGACTAATTAAGATGGATGTTCTCCCACTTTCATCAATATATATATCAAGAGAATATTTGAATTGCTGAAGTTGGATAAAGAACATACAACTTAGAATGGTAAAAAGGAAAAAATAAACAAGTGAGAGATAGACCGACCTGTTTCCCAGACGGGCATGAAGGTCGATGACCAGTTGTTCTTCAGCTTCACTAAGAAGGCCTCTCTTCAGGTCGGGCCGAAGGTAGTTAGTCCAACGAAGGCGGCAGCTCTTGCCGCAGCGGCGGAGTCCGGCGAGCTTGGGGACGGCGCGCCAACAATAGTGGCCATTGGTGAGGATGAAGTTGATGAGTTTCTTGTCCTCCTCGGCCGTCCATGGCCCCTTCTTCACTCCGAGCTTGTCACAGCAAGGCTGTCTACCCATGACTACTACTGAACCCAGAATACATACACTAAAGGGTCTAAACTCAAAAGCCCCACACCCACCTTTAAATAAAGGCTCTACTTTTCTTTGGTGCAATCAGTAATCAGTGCTCATGGAGAAAGATGGTAATTCTCAATTCTGTGAAATAAAGAATTTGGTCCCGCCATCTGTCGTTGAAAGCTGCCCTGTAACTGCAACAAACCTGTTCCCGTGTCTTTTGCTTCATATGATTGCAATGGTGGACGAAGGACGACCCAACGACGACGCTACATCTAAGCATATTCCGAATCAAATTTCCATTTCCCAGCGCAATCCAGAGAATTAATGCATTCCTCCTGGTTGCACTCTTACTCAAACATTCCATCACCCATTTCGTCATCACCACGTTTGGGTGTCCGTGTCTTGAGAGATTCAATGAAATTTAGATCCTTAACCAAGGTAAAAAGTTTGGACTGCCAATGGGTCGGGTGGACGTGGATCTCTCTGTCATGCCCAATCCAATCCTATTCTTTTATCTTATTATGATTTATGATTTATGAACATGCTCTCTCTGGATCTGGATTTTTTAGCCCCCATTAGTTCATTATTAATTGGGTCGGTTCTGCTCCTGCATTTTGAATCCCGACTATGTTATTAGAGTCGGGGATGGACTGGTTTTACTTTTACCGGTCTGACTTTATTTAAGACCCGAACCAATTATGTAAACTAATACCCACATATCATAATTAGAAAATAGAGAGAGAGAAGTAGAAACTAAAGGCCTTCCTTATTATACTACGATCTTACTGGATCAGACCCGAAACCCACTCCCCAGTCGGGGTGTTTTTTTCCAACTGTTGATCGGAGTCGGGTGGGCTTCAGGGAAGCCCAAAATTTAAGTGATCAGTAAGACGGGGGTGGTATTTGTCCATCCCGTCCCGGATGGTATTTGCCCAAATTTTGATTTGATAAACTAAATCACCACTTGCCCTTTTAACACATAAATATAACAAGGCTTTTAGAAGAATTTATAAGAGAAAAAACTTGGTCCTTGGTCAAGTTTCAATATTGCAACTTATTAAAAAAAATAGAAGAAAGCCAACCCAAAATGAATGAATGAAACCATAATCTCTGCAGGGATGGGGCCATCAGGATACATGTGTTCCAAGAATTCACATCTGTGCCCCAAAGAGCGAGACCACAGTACATCCCAATCATGTATTGGGAACATCTCCCAATAACAAGTATAAGTACAGAAAATGTTCCCAAGGCATGCTGAGATGTACATGTGGGGCGTGCTCTGTGGGGTGCAGATGTGAACTCATGTTCGATGTTGGGAATAGGATATGCAAAATTTGGCCCTACCCCACCTTATATATATACTATTAATAAAAGAGAAAATAGCCCCATTTTCTGAACTTTTCATTAGACATTTTTACCCTTTATCTAATCAACATACAATGGGCATAAAAAGGGCATATATGTCCTTTATTCTCACTCCAAAAGCTGCCCACTTATAACTGTTCAAAAACTATCCATTAATTGTAAATAGTTTTTTCTTGGAGATACTGTCACATGCAAATGCACATAGATGTTTAATAGTATATAAATATATATATATATATATATTATCCTTAATTCCAACTTACCCTATCCCCCAGTTTTCATCTATATCTATCTAAAGAAAGTCTCAGTTAAAACATTTAATTATAATTTTATGGATTATTCAATTTAATAAATAAATAATAATTTAAAAATACAAATAAAAAATTATTTACATAACACAATATTAAAGTATCAAAATAATTATATAACAAAATATTTAAAATTACATAATAACTTTAAAAAGTTAAATTTAAATAACAAAAATATTAATTAAATGTTTTACATATTATTTAAATATTTATATAATGAAATAATTAGCGTAACTAAATTTTAAATACTTAAAATAACGAAATTATGTAATAAATTTTAAAAAAATTTCTAAAAGGTAGAATAATAATTATAATAGATTTCATAACTTTTGACTTAATAATAATTTTATATTTTACAAAATCAATAACGAAATTATTTAAATATAGCATAAACTATAATTTCAATAATTAAATAATTAATATTTTAAATAATGGTATTATTCAATAATTAAATAATATTATAAATAAATAACTTTTAAATACTTTAAATATCAAAATATTAATAACTAAATATCAAACTGCTCTCGCTGGGTTTTGGAGTTGGTCACACAAAACCGACCAACCATAAGTAAAAACTTACCATTGGTTAATTAATAGATGTTCAAATTTTTAATGTTTAGCATAATTTACATAAATCATTGTAATTTAATAAATTTTTACAATAATGGTTTATTCATAAAAAATATTACTAATTAGCATACTTTACTAATTTCTATAAAATCAATAATTATAGATAACATTTATCAAATCATTTAGGGAACTCTTTAACTAATAATCCATCATTTTTTAAATAAATAATAATTAAAAATTAGGAAATTAACCTACGAAAAAAATATTCTCCAAAACTATTTAAATAATAGTCCATTATTATTAATCAACTAAATAATTCTTAAAAATTTTAGAAAAAATAAATTAAGAAACTAATCTATTAGAAAGTGTTTCATATTTATTAAGTAACAATCCATTATTATCATTTTAATAAATATTTTTTAATAATTTAATAAAATTATTAAATCTATCCACACTAGTCTAGGCCACTTGATTGACTTCAATAATACTTGGTTTTATATTAATTAACAACAAATGATTTACTTTTAATTAAAATTAATGTAATTTACCATAATTACATTAATTTAATATAATTACATTATTTTGATTAATAGTAAATAATTTAGGCTTAAAAAGAAAATAATTTACATTAATTTATTGTTATTGTAAACAATTATTTTACTATACATTTTTGCTAAGCAACAACGCTTTCAATAATTTTTGGAAATTATCATAAAATATTATAATTTATTAATTTACTATTAGTTAATTAGTTATAAAAAATTGTTAGAATTGTAGAGATGACAATTTTCCATATAAAACTAGGGCCATACCTTGCCCCACCTTGAACGGGGCAAGTTTTCTCGAATTTTAAATAGGGACGGGGAAGAGACATGGTGGGGATGGTGAATATTTTTGCTTCAAATCAAGGATAGGAAAGGGACAAGGATTGCATATAATTCCCCAAACCCGATGGTAAATTAGTAAAATATCAATAGATTTAATATTGGATTTTAAAATATTTTTAAAATTTTCACATATTCTTATAATTCTAAGATCCAACAATTCCATTTATAAAATACCCCTAAATTGTCATAATCTAATTCATAAAATACCCCCAAATTCCCATAATCCTATTTTTAAATATCCATAAATTAGATTACTTTTAGGTGGTTGCATGAGGTGGGGAAAATTTGGGGATTCCTCATCCTTGACAGGGAATGGTTGCCTTGCCTTGAATCCACTCCACCACCAGGGACAGGGTGAGGATGGGGTAGATGTTTTGACTATAGGGGCAAGGGACAAGGAGTGCCCCATCCCATGCACCACACGGGCTCCACGAGTATATACTAAGAAGAATGATGCCATGTCATGGCCTCAGCTTTCTCCAATACCCCAATTGAGAACTCTCAACCCTTCACTTTAGCCTTCCCAGCTCCCTCATGAAGCCACCCCATCACTCCCTTCTCCCTCTCTCATTTTGACATGTCAACATGCCTGACCCATTCCTCTTTCCTTTATGTTTATCCCTTTGGATATCCCTTCCTAAAACTATTCTTAAAATTTCTCCCTCCTAAAATCTAATCTAATCTAGCCAAGTGCACCACTATCCCTCAGTTTCTCCTAAATTATTTATAATTCTCATTTATCTTTTAAATTATATATAACTCATAATTATCACTAATTTAGTAGAGAGTTTATCTCCTAAATTGCCTTTAATTCCTATTTATCCTATCCCCCAATTTTCATCTATATCTAACAAAAGAAAGTTTTGAATTAAAAAAATTTAAATATTATAATGAAATTATTTAATAAATTTAAAATATTTATTAAAAACATAAAAAAGTTATCATAGATTTTACAATTTTATTAATAATTTTATATTCTTATAAAAATACTAACAATAATTTTAATAATTAATCAGTTTAAATATTATTCAAATAACAAAAACTAAAATTAAAAAATATTATTTAAAATTTTAAATAACTAAATATTATAAATAACAAAATATTAAAAATAGATAAATATTATATAACAAAATATTTAATATTAAGTAATCACTTTAAAATTAATAAAATTTAATTAATGAAGATATATAAAAATTTTAAATTGTATTTAAATAATTAATAACTAAATATTTTAAATAACAAAATATTTAACATAACTAAATTTTAAATAGTTAAATAACGAACTATGTAATAAAATTAACTTTTTTAAAGTAGAAAATTTCTACAATAGATTTCATAATATTTGAACTAATATTAATTTTTTATTTTACAAAATTAATATCGAAATTATGTAATAATAGTATAACTTATAATTTTATGGATTAGGAAACACGATAAATAAGTAATAGTGAAATAAATAAATAATGATATTATTTAAATAGATAAATAATATTGTAAATAACTAATTTTAAATATTTTAAATATCAATATAATTATAACTAAATTATATTTTAAATATTATTCAAAAAATAAAATAGATTAAATAAATAAATTATGTAATAACCTTAAAAAATTTATCAAAAATACAAAAATAATTATAATAGATTTAATAATATTTGATAATAAGAATGTAAAATATCAATAATTTAAAATTTTTTAAATATTATTGAAATAATGAAAAATAGATTAAATAATTTAGAGGTATTGAAGCTTTCAAATAACTAAAATTGGTAATAACTTTCAAAAATATTTTTAATAGGTATTAAAAAATACAATAATAATTTCAATAATTAATGTACTAATAATAAAAGAATTATTTCACTTATATCAATTAATAATTCCAGAAAATAACTTTCATAAAATTGATATTTATTAATAATAAATTTA